CTCTGTGGTCTCGCTGATCAACAAAGAAATACTCGTGACATACTGTGTGAGTCCTCATTCTAATTACTAGGACTTTTTTTCTTTAATCAAACCCTCATAGCAACATGGATAAACTCTGCCACTCCTCATTATTCTGCAATTCTAGTGATGGACAATTAGTGTGTAACCTTCACTCACATGCTGAAATTGCTCTGTGTATGCATTGTAGTTTCATATTGCAGTCTTTGTAAAGTCATTCTGTCTTTCTAAGATAATTGGGATTGTGGTACTTGTTAACCTCAGAGTATAGTGGGAGGATAAAAGAAAACGTGTGATAAGATAGTATAGTGTGGTTTGACTAAATAAATTATTTACAGTATATCATTTTGGATTTTTAAAAGATTTTCTTAAAATAACCAATTGTATTCTGCTCAAACATTTCACCTTTAAGGGAATTGTTCTTGGTGCAGTGTAGGCAAAATTCTGGCAATTCAGTCAACCATGCCCTTAGTCTTCAATAGACAAAGTAAATAGGCTATAGTTTAGCATTGTTCATTAAAATCCACAGCAGTTATTCCTTTAAAAATCATTATTGTTCTAAATAGTGTCCTACTTTCAAACTGAAAAGTTAAACTAATTTAAATCCTCTGGGTCACAGGCAGCAGTCATCTTGGTTTCATGGGAAGCATTGCTACACTATTCCTATTACTCCAGATTTGCTGCCTCAAGATGCATCTCTTGTTCTCATTTATAGAAAACTGGTCGGGCACTATTTTGCCTCAAGGTAATTTTCATTATTTCAGTGAAATGATGGTCTGATGGTTCAGTTAAAAGTTGGTTTGCCTTCCTGGGAAATTATTTAAGCTGTTAAAAAGTAGAATTCGTCTCTGAGTTTCAAAGTGAAGTTTTTTGGGATTATCTATTCCAGGGCTCCCCAGCTAGGCAGTCACCATGTGATTACTTTTAAGCCAAGTACACTGGTTTAATGATATGCAGTTTGGAAGGAGGCTTTTCCCATCTTGCCTGCACTGCGGGGCTTTGTCACACAATCAGCCCCAGCTCCCCTTCTAGCAGTGGCAGTAATGGCAGGTGGAGCCCTGAAGGCTGTCGAAGGAGCAAGGAGGCACTGTGCAGAGTGCTTGAAAGCTTTTTCTCTCCTTTGAGTTGCTCATGCCTGCAGGACATACAGAATGAATTGTAGGTCAGGTTTTTTAGAAGAGAGTTTCTTTGTACAAATTATTTTGTGTGTATAGACAAAGTCAGAAATGTATGTACTATGGTTACTTTCCTTTAAGCTGCAGACAAGTGCTTTTAGATACATAGAGAATAATTGCCTCTGGAAGGAAGTATATATACTATAATAATAATAATAATAATAATAATAATGCAGTTTGGAGTAACGCATCGAGGAAAGTAGCCATAGCACATACATGCTGGCTCTTCTGTATGCAAGGAGACAATTCAGGAGTCTCAAAAGAAGTTGACTTGGCTGAGGATAGAAGAACTGAAGTAGTAATTTTGTTGAAAATTGTAATTTACTGTAGTTATTAAAAAAATGCATCCAGTACATGCTGTACAGAAACATACTTGCCTTTGACAGCAGTCATAACTTTGGCACTTCCAATTGAGGTTCTGCATTTCAGCAGTGGCAATTCACTAAGCGTTATCATCAGCATTCATCGTCTCTAAGCTGTGCTGTCTCTAAGCATGGTTAGAGTATTGTAGGAAAACCAGCAAATTCTCCTTTTACTTCCACTTTGCATCACTAATTCCTCTGAACGAAATTGTTCTCCAGATCTTTTGGTATATTATCTGTCAGCATGTTCCCATAAGTTAGAGTATGGCACCGAATGTACAGTCTATAAGCCCGTATGCACAGCTGCTGCCTGTATGACTAGGACTTTCTTCTTCATTGTGAGAATTTTTGTATGGATTTCAGAAGAGAAAACAGGTTAGTGGATAAATGAATGCAGCCAATCATTATCCTAGGATTTCATTTTCATTGGATGCTTGTTAGATATCTATGGGTCTTTGTTCGATACTTGGAAATTTGCAGCTCCTTGTAAAATTCGACTGAGTCACGGTTCCTTTATTTAGTTTGCTGGAAGGATGTTCTGCAGAGAAGGGGTATCTTGACAGGTTTTTAACTGGCATAAAGAGAAGTTGAATAGTTCTGTTGTAATAAAGAGCAGGGGAGGGAAGGAAGAAAGGAAGGAAGGAAGGAAGGAAGGAAGGAAGGAAGGAAGGAAGGAAGGAAGCAAGCAAGCAAGCAAGCAAGCCAGCCAGCCAGCAGAGGAGCAAGTGAGGAAGGAGTTGTGCATGTCCTCAAGGATGAAGGCATCAAGTTTAACCACGAAACAAAGGAGGAAAATAACTAAAATACTCTTTAAAAGTTAAGAAGGTTAATATATTTAGGTACAATAACCTTAGCACCCTCACAGAAGTAGCCCAATTTAGCTTGCAATCAGGTGAAATGAATGCTGCCTGAAAGATACTGAATCAGTTTGCAACTAAATGGGATGATGGAGTCTCTACGTCATTTAATCTCTGCCTCAGTTCCTGTCTGCAAAACTGTTGAAATGCTCCATAATTTCCTCCCACTCTCAGTTTATCAGGTTTATTTCAATAAAAGACCTAGGAAGCAGGGACTCTGCCTTACTAGCCAGTATGTTTCTATCCAGTATCTAGCCCTACTCTCATTTGCAGTGCTGGGTATCACGGTGATACTACTGAGAGGAGCAGTGACCTCTGTGTGTACTTGAATTGTGTGTATCGTATATCATTGTACACAACAAGAAGTCTGCAGATTGCTTTGCTTTATACCATTCTCAAGCAGCTTATCCATAGACGTGCAGTTCTAGATACAATAACTCAGTAAGGGAAATGTAAAGGCTTGGCACGTTTCCTATAGAGTCTTTGATTTCCTTTTTTTGCTCATCCTTCTGCCTTGACAGACAATGTTTGAAACATTATCATAACTTTTTTTCCATGGTTGTTGGGTTGGTTCCTGTCAGCAGAAGCACTGGTTTACAAGGCCTCTAAATCCTTACTCCCATTTCTGTGAAATTACCTCAGTTGCTGTGGTGTAAATCTTTCTTCAGTGAGGCAAACCAGATTAAGGGATCTGATGTAGTCTAAAAATAAGCCAGCAGAACCAATTGTTACTAATCCACATCAGTTCCCTGGTGCCATTCCCTGCACAGAGAAAAGTGTGCTGTGAACAGCCCACAAGGCTCACTATGTCGTGATGTACTGCAGTACTTCCTACTTGTAACAGCAGCCAGCTCTTTCATTAAAGCTCTGCCCCAGTATGCCAAATACACAAGGCTTCTGAAATGACTGTCCAACTTCTTGGGGTCACATGCTTTTTACTGCCACAGTACTCATGAAAATGTACGTGTTCATCTAACAGAGGCATGATGAAAGCACCCACAGGCTTATCAACCTCTTCAAAATATATCTATCTCAAAATGATGTACTTAACACATAGAAACTTTTCCTTTTGACTCACTGTTCTAAGTTTGTCTCCCCAAATCCCACCCTTAGATTTTTATTTACCTTTGACTTTGTAGCTTATGGTAGTTCACTCATTTTACAGCGGCCTTCAGAGATTCTTTGGGTAGAAGTCATTTTTACTGAATTAATTTCTTTTCTATGTAAAATTTAGCTATAGTCAAAATATCCACTGTATTAAGTGCTTTTGTTCATATGCTCTCTGTTACTAGAAGATTAAGCTTTAGTTTATCTCTACTCCTAACAAACCCATTGTGCCTCTACTTGGGTGAGTTGTATGTACATTCCTTTGGGGATTAACGCCTCTGTGCTACCGATTTCTTCAGTCTTCTGACGGTTTGCTGTAACAGGACAGACTTACCTACCTATTGCAAATGATGCCTTCTGCAAATATTGTATTCTAGAAAGTCAAGGTTTGTAATAAGAAGCAATATAATTTATTAGCTCAAGTCTGACATAGTCAGACCAAACCCCATAAAAGTTCTCAGGCACATAAACTCTTCTTCACATCTGAAATGGAAGCAACATATTTCAAGCGAAGTACAGAAATTGGTCTCAGTTCAGTTTCATTATTGTTAATCACTGTGACTGTCTGAGAGAAAAGGATAGTTAACATCTATGAAGCTGAGGGATCTGTTAGTAAGGAGAGAGGTGATAAGGTCAGTAGCCTCTACTGGGTAGAGAGAGAGGGACAGATTATTATCCCTTGTGGAGTCACAAGGGTTAGCAGAAGAGATACTGTGAAGAAAATTATACAATGTGAGATAAACTAGCCTTCTTACTGAGCTCTTGATTTTATGAATCAGAGCAGAATAATAAACTTTATATCCAGGCTCACCTTCTGAAGTTTTACAGATACTGCAAGTGACCACAACTGTTTTGAAATGGAGGGATGCTGACAAAAAGAGACTCCTGATTTTTAATGATGAGTTCTTTAAAAGTATGCAGTCTGACCTCTCTTGCCAGCATTGAGGCTCTAGTGTCTGTAAATGACTTCTTAGGTAAAGGCATACTCATGTGCATGCCACACATGCCGTAAAGACCCCTACTGCCTGATTCATATCTCAAAAGAAAATAACAGAAGTCACTCAAGCCTGAAATTAGGGCAGGGAAGACACAGCTTGCAGAAGGAGGGATTTGTGTGGCTTGGTTACAGAATCTGGTGAATGATAGTAGCTTCATGTTTGTGGTCATGGAGCCATCCAGAAATATCAAGTCTGGAAAGTCAAGATGCCTTTCAAAAATTTACTCATCCAGAATGATTACTGAGAGCCTCTGCCTTTCCAAATAGGTCAGCATTTCCACAGAGACCTAAAACTAAAGGAAATTAGAATTGAAAGATTTATTTGAATTCTGTTTCACATGAGCATTGCTGCACAGGTGCTCTCAAAACACTAAGAAATATTTTATATGCAGTGTTTTTATGAAGCTTAAAAAATTAGCAGCTCAATGAGCAACCGTCTGTATGTCACCACAGTGTCAATTTATTTTCTGTGCTATTATTGCAGGTGATTATGTAGTCATGACTATATACTTCGACTTAAGTAGAAGAATGGGATACTTTACTATTCAAACATACATTCCCTGTATATTAACAGTTGTTCTTTCCTGGGTATCCTTTTGGATTAAAAAAGATGCCACACCAGCAAGAACAGCATTAGGTAAGTTGTTAATAATTCCCTTTTCTACTCTCTTTGTGTCGTTTCTACACTATCATTTGAAAATGTCAGCTTCCTTTCAAAGAGACCACTAGATATATGCTTTGGATTATTGCTACTACATCTTGCAGATCCAGATCTACTTATCACTGAAGCCTCTGGTCTTCTGCCTTTAACAGTGTGATTAAAAGTAAACTACCCTGACCCTTTGGAATGACACTGCCACCTATTTTACATAATATTCTGGAATTAATGTCTGTCTCCTTGTTCTCAGTATGATATTTTAGTGACATTTTTGAAGAACAAATTAATTACACTGCTGGCTTCCTTCCCTTCTGAAACTCTCCCTTACAGAGCTGTATGTCTTATATATACAGAAAACTGTGGGATATAATAATATTAATTCATGCAAAGTGTTTTAGCTTGCGTGATGAAGTTAAGCTCCACACTAGTTGTATAGATATTTTTCGTAGATTGTGGAGATTTACGCTGGTATACGTTTTCCAGCAGCTCATTTATGTCAGGACCAGCGTGTGCATTTTGGCATTGTGCTTTAGGATACACTTGGAAATGCTAACCATTTATTCTTATGTCTATAGGAAAACCTGCAGTTTTTGCTTGCATCAAGGGCATAGGGCTATATACTAGGCAATTATAGTTATACATCAGAACTGAAGAAACCCCAACATTTTAGTCCAGACTGTGGTTGCCAGGGCTGCCAATACTAACTGATTCAGAAATCTATGAGTCTAGTAAAAAAGGGGAGGCTGTGTCAAGGTTTACATATCTGTTTTCAAGCGCGGAGATTACTGTTCCCAGCTATTTATTGTTTCCTCCTGCCGGAGTTTGTTACCATCTCCAGTTAACCAGCTGGACTCTCTAAATCATTTCTGTTTGAAAGAATAAATTATTAAAAACTGACCTGCCTGACTTTTTGGACTGAAATCAGACAGGAAGCATTCGTAGGAGCAACTGAGTCCCCAGGAGAGGGTGATACTGCTGCAAGGAAAGCAGCAGGTACTGCTGCTCTACTTGATCTCCGGAGGAATACACCTTGTTTGACAACGCAGCCTTTATACAGTTGTTCAAAATGACTTGTCCTGTTTCAGTCTGTCTCTCTCCTGCACTAATACATCTGAGCAACCACAAATTTTGAAGGTGCTGTGGTTTCTAACATAAAGGCCCTGAAGGGGAAAATAAAAAGGAAGTGCTAAGGAGATTTTGAAGTCCATTCACTCTGAATGAGATTTTAGCTGCTAAGTTTTTTGAACTTGTCCAGAAGTCTGATCCCACTTTCTAAATCCTTCACTCATACAAAAAACTTATGGTCATCTATTCAGGGTGCACAAGGCCCGGGTTACAAATGTTTTTCTTCCCAAAACCTCTAATGCTTCAATAGCTTTGTAACTTTCAGCTGAATGACAGAAGAAATACATTACCAAATATATCCTCTAAGTGTAACTCCCTCACTAGCCACAGCTTTATTTAAGCAATGAAGCTATATGCCAGCCACTCCTGCTATCAATCCTTAGGCATCTCCTTCCTAGGGGGAGGTTGTATCAGCTTTAATTCTTAGTGAGTGGTGAGGGGCATCCTTTCAAACCAAGAGCAGCTCAGTGACATGGAGCTATGCAACAGGATCAGTAGAAATAAAAGTCCCAGAGAACATGTAGTAAGACAACTGCAAGCAGCCAACAGTTTCACACTTTTTACAGATAATTCTGTATTAAAACCCATTTTGCATGAGGTCAGCATGAAGCCATAACCTGCTGGATTTGCTCCAGGAGTTTGTAAAATTAACAAATGTAGCACTTCTGACCATTATAAGTCATCTGGTGTCATGTGGGTCCAGTTTTCTGAGGTTATTTTCCGAGAAAGGAATATTCAGTCCTCACCCCCTTCATGTGAGTGCCAAAGTGCCTTTACACTGCGGCTCCAGCAACATGACAGACCCTAAGAGTTACAGTTATTCTGTGACCCCCTCCACCTCCAGGACAGCATGAAGATGACACAAAGGTGAGGACAGAGCAGCTGTACGACTGCTTGTTCCTGGCTGTGTAGACTTTCCTCTGGTGGCCAGAAAGTTGAGTGTACTTCTCTGCTGAACTCCTTTCTTCTTAAATTGGATGACTCAGTGGAGATAAGGAAAGATTGACCATCCTTCACAATGCTTAAGAGAAAAGGGAGAAAAGGCTTGTAGCCATTTGCATTACTAATTTTCCAGAAGCAGTGTTCATACCCTGTCCCTGAGGGCAGTTCCCCACACCACACAGCTCTGTTTTCCAATTAATTAGACATGGAAGTAGGTTAGATCACTAGTCATAACAGTCTGACTCTCCCCACCTCACCCCCTCAGCCAGCGGGAACTTCAGAGAAAAAATGTATTCATATACTGAGGTCATGAATTTGAAGTAAGAACACAAAAATGAGATGTTCCAAGGCTATATTCAATGGCTATCATGACTAACTCCTAAAACTCTGATGAAGAATTAAATTTCTGGGCTAAAATATAACTTTTTTATAAATAAAGTCAAATGACAAGAAAATAATATATATATGGGTCACCTCTTTTTGTGCAGAGTCCTCTTGCTCCCAAATCGGCAATGGCCTGTTGATTCTTGGGATGCAGTAAGCAGATGTTCCCAGTTTACTGTAGGTCTGCTTGTATAACGCAACTTATAAATCTGTCTGAGCAACAGCACACATCCACATTTGGATAGTGGTACATGGTGAAATTGTGAGTAATACAGCCAAAGGCAAACCGCTGAAATTGACCTACTAATTAGTTGCAACAACGTGTAGACTCAGTGCACCAAACCTGCTCTGGGTATAGCTGCATTAATGTAAAGGGCTAGCACCAGGGAAATATTTCACACTCTGAAATTAATGAGTAATTTCCTAAGCTGTTGGCAACTACTCAGTTATATGAAGGACAGGCTTTACCCCTTTCTGAATAATACTAAGTAATAAGCTGGAAAAAACAAATGCAATCGGCGTATCTGGCTGTGAGGAAAAAAATGGCACTGTAAGCATCCTTTCAGCAACACTGTCCAGAGGCATCAAAGTGCTCTTTAAAAACTTGGCATCATAGTCCTTTTTTCACATGTACTTTGAGAGGCTGAGGCCCAGAGTGGCAATGTGACTCACTCCAGGCCACCTGAAGAGTCAGTGGGAAGCTGGAAATAGAATTTGAGTGCTGGATGAGAACTGTGTTTTGTGATCCCAGATTATTCTGCCCTCCATTCAGAGAGAAAAAAAAATGCCTCTCTGCTGTTTCTGCTTGTCTCTAGTAATCAAAATGATCTTCTCCCAATGTTCACAGTCAAGAGCAGCCAGCAAGTGTCTGAAGAAAAGTTATGATCTGGGAAAGAATAGGTTGTTTTCCTTGAAGATAAAGGGAATTAAGTTAAACTGAAGCTTTCATCCCAGTTTCCCCCTGCTTTTTCAAAATGGGTATAATAGGTAATAGGACCAGGCAGTTACTACAGAGCAACTTCAAACTGCAGTTTAAAAAAATACAGTGGGTATCAAGGCCACCAGTGTGTTGATGTAGAAGAAGATACAGATGATGTTTAATAAAAAATGAACGTTGCTCTCCTTGTTATTCCATCTTAAGCTCATTCACTAGAGAAACAAGCAAATGATCAAAACAGGTGCCAGACCAAAAGGTGGAGAAATTAAGTTTATAAACAAGTGATAGCATGGTTAAAAGCAGTACACCTTTCCCCCAGTGTCCCATCAACGTACCCTTAGGAAAATAAGAAAAAATGAGCGTCGCTGACAAAAGAGTGAAGCTCTTTCTAACAGTGAAGCTCCTGCTACCTCACTTTGCATACTGTTGCCCAGTAAGGAGCTTTCAAACAGTAATAAGTTTAAATAACTATTTAGACCAATGATCTAAAGGTTAAAGTGTTCTCATGCATTATGTATTCCTACATCATTTGATCTCCCAGACAGTCCTTTTTGATTTATCAAACAGCATCTTTGGTATGGAATTTGCTCAGAGAACATAAATGTCACAAAACGGTATTTATACACAAACTTGTAAGCTCCCACTTACACCTATCTACCTGAAAATTTTGAAGCCAGGTTACTTCAAAGCTGTCCTTGGCTGATATTAAAATTCTGTTGAAACAGACAGTTCGAGAGCACTGTGAATTTCAATAACAGATGCAAAGCTCACTTTACCATATGAGCCTCCCCAAAGTGAGAGACTTAACAATTTCATCTGGCAAGGTTTATTGCGTTTGAAACCACTCAACAAACTGAATTTTCTTAGCATGAGAGATAAAATGAGCTAAGGGTATGGAACCTAGATATTCTTTTTGGAAATAATGGGTGCTGCATTTTATTCATATATGCATATCTGTATATTCCGACTTGTAAATGTGTAGTGATACAAAACTGTATCAACTGTTGCACCGTCTTTCTCTTTGCTCTCTGTATGTAACCCCATAAGACTCATTTTAATATTCTGAGGCTTGTGTCTATGTGTCAAATGTAAAATTGATACACGGGGTAGAATTTTTATTATTTCAAAATCTCCTTGCTTGTTTATGGTGTGAGCTGGCATCCAAGTTCAAGCCTCAGCTTAAATGAGGAACACTGCTTTTCTATTGGATTTCATATCATAAAAATATTTTGCATAAATAATAGAAGTAAAAATATGTTTGTTTTACTTTTGGATGTTTCCCTCTATGTGCTCAGCAATCTTGTCTCATGCCCTTGCCATAATTTGAAATGTGACGTATAATCCAGAAACTATGATGGCTTATGATAATGCTAAACTTTCCCCAATGTTTTATATTCCAGTAGCAAAATGTGATTTGTTGGCAAAGAGACTGAGGATAGACACTATTAATATCTTAAAACCAAAATAAATCTTACACCATTGCTGTGTCTATAAATTTAGTAGAACCTACTTTGTTTCAATCAGCTAAAATTAGTCCGGAGCTACCCAAAACTCCCAGATTCTGTATCAGTGAGGTATTTACAACGTGACTTACTGGGCTGGTTTTGCTTAGTTCTCACCTAGGTTTTCACAGTCTCAAGCATGATTCAAGTAGGCATTTCACATTCAGGCTTAAGGCACGGATATACGACTCAGGTTGAGTTGGGGACTTCTATACTTAAGTACAGAGGCTAATAGTAATTTTCCTTTCACTTCTCTGCCTTCCTGTCCATAGTCACTTTGGCAGCTGGTCGTCATTACAGATACCCGCACAATACTTCTTGTCACACATAATACAAAGTTACATATTTCAGTAAAATTAGAGGAAAAATAGTACATTGTCAATACAGCATTCAGTAGAAAAATTGCAGACCTTTGCAAAAAATGTTTTTGAGCATTGCAAGGTTTTTGCCTCTTTTATTTCTTTTTTGCCTTTTAATAAAAGAAGTGTCCTAAAATAATCTGACATCCTATCACAGGATGGGTGGGAAATGAAAACTTGCCCTTGAGTCCAGGTAAAAAGGACACTGTATATTGTGCTGGAAGAAGACTACAGGTTTTGAGGAATTTATTAATGGTAGTAAAATACCTGAGAGCAGGTGCATGTACATGTGGCTCTGAAAAGGACAGATTTGTGTTAGAAATCTAAATGTGGGTTAGAAAATGTTAGAGAACTTCATTTCATATTGTAGAGTATATCATAGTCTGGATGCAGTTCTTCTGAAGTTAGTGACTCCCAAGGCCTGAGTCAAGGTCATGCGAAAAGACTAATTAATCTATAATTAGTAAGGGCCAAATCAAGGCTAGTGAGTCAACACCTTTTGCAGTTGGACATCTTCGCAGTTGACTACTGTCATGAATGGCTAAGCATGGGGTTTGTCTCTGGAGCTTTTTCAAAGCATCAGCTAGCTACGGAAGGGTCTGTTGTTGAAGGGTCTGGAGAGGTTACTGGATCATGCCAGCCACGTGCTTATATTGGGATGTGGCACAGTTGGCAGGAACAGGCACAGGAAACAGAAATATTTTCCCAATAGCTTTCAGATGCCCAAGGTACATACAAAGTCCGCATTTCCCACTTCCTATCAGCAGTGCTTTCATCTTGATTATTGGGTTGTGGTTTTTCAGCAACTTTTTTTTTCTTTTTTTTTTTTTTTGTTTCTGTGTAGTGGCTATTTAAGGAATACAGTTAGTTATTATTCAGTGTAGAAGAAGGTCGAGGCCCAGGCAATAATCTGCCTTCTGGCTCTTCCAGGAATTTTCTGTCAGTTTGAATGGGGAAGGTTATTCTTGCGAATCGCTGCAGTTTCTATCAAACGCTACAAATCAGAGGTGGGCATTCCTTCATAAACAGAAAGTAGTCAAAAGTAATCCACAGATAACTTCTTTCTCTCCAGAGTGCCATTTGTGGGAAGTAATTTTACTACAAAGCATAATTTCAGTCATCCCCTGCCATTTCAAACACTGTGTACCATCACAAAATATCACTTTAACTATAAAAAGAAAGATTACCTTATGGTTATGTTGTTTTTAGAGCAGGTTCTCTCTTGAGGCTTATTTGAGTGAGAGCTTTATTTTTCTTCCCAAGCCATTGAGGAGTTTTATTTTTCTTTCAGAAGGCTTGCAGTTCATAACAAATGATTAAAAGCATCAGTCCAAAGTGGGAATGAAAAGACTTCTGTTCCCCAGGAATGAAGAGAAATTATATGAATTACCAGCAGCCAAATAACTGACACCCCATAGATTTCATTCTAGGACTGGTTTTATTGTTTCAGGGTATTTCACACTAAGTATTTTATTTATTATATTCATTATTACTAAACCAATCTAAGATGTGATGCTTTGTATGAATTAAAAAGGCTATTTCCATTAAGGTTACATCTGAAGTTTATATGAGAGTCTGTTTTCCCTTACTTAGAAGGAAAATAGCAGTGGAGGACTCCCAAGGAAACAGTGGTGTGAAAACATATTTTCAAAATTCATGGTCAGAACCTTGCAGCAAAATTTTTTTTTTCCCATCCCCCTTTTTTTCTTTTTTGAGCACAAGATTTTTCACAAGAGCAGTACTGCTGTGAAAAAGACCATGCTTCCTTCATTGTTTTCTAGGTTTCTTAATTTTTATTTTTCTGGGTTTAGTATCTTTTCTGCTTTATACTTTTGTTCAGAAAATTTCTTTATTCTCTCCTTCTCCCTCACTCCCATCTCCAACCTAACTGGGACCAGAAAAAGGAAGAGATGAGGAAAAGCATATTGAGAGGCATGGGAATGTCACTTTTGCAATGTTGAATATAAACAGCTGAGGAAATCTTTGTTTACAAAATACCACTGGCTCTACTGATTTTCTTTTTTTTTTGTTTTTTTTTTTTTTGTAATACCAAATGAAATTAATGAATTATTTGGGTACACTTTGGATTTCTGTTTTGTATGTTTGTTTCCAAAGATTCTTCTGCAACATGGAGAAATGATGCTGCATACAATTAAATCAAGTTTCTCTCTGCAGGCATCACCACAGTATTGACCATGACAACTTTGAGTACCATTGCGAGAAAGTCATTGCCCCGCGTCTCCTATGTCACCGCTATGGATCTGTTTGTGACTGTATGCTTTTTATTTGTCTTTGCTGCTCTGATGGAGTATGCAACCCTCAACTACTACTCAAGTTGCAGGAAACCAAACTGTACTAAGAAGAAAAAGTCGGTAAGATGGGAGCAGTTAATTTCTTTTCTATCATGTGTCTGGCTCAGAGAGCAGAGAATCATTCAATGACAGCCTGTAATCCCATGATACTCCGCTCCTCCAAGTTCTTCCCAGTTTGTGGTGTGATCTGCCCTGAAAGCTGATGGAAAGTAGTTACCCGCAGTAACAGTAGAAGCAGTTATGTGCCTGTTGAGTGAGGTCTGTTCCTAACAGAAGCAGCCTGCTGGCCATGAAGCAGCAACCCTGCCTATGTGTCTTTCATCCTCCAGTTACTGTGCTGGTAGTCATAAAGGACTCCCACTGAAACAGATTGCATAGCTTGTTATACAAATATATGCACATCAATGTATATTCAAATGCATCTGCTATTTCATGGCTTAACAGGTCTAGAAACATTTATGAACTTTACAAACGGGATTTCAATGTCTCCACTGGGAACCAGCACTTGTTTTTAGCCCTGTGCACAAAGGGGCTTTTTCCTAAGTACAAAAAGAGAGGTCATTTACAAAGGTTTTATACATGGCTGCATTTTTGGCCAAAAAGGCACTTCCAGAAGTAACACCCAGACACACACAAAAGCTGTTTATTTAGAATCAACTAAAACAGTCACGCAGGAAGAATTGCCTGGTGTACTTCAGAATTGACTACAAGAATGAGAGGGGGCGATATAATGGAGAAAAAAATCTCAGTGTAAACATAGGGAAGGGGAAGTGGGTTGTCCACTCAAGATCAGTGGAAAATCTTATGTGTTTGAGATCGGTAGTTGGAGATGTTGGATGCCATTTTGTGCAATGGAGGAAATAAGGACATTTGAAATCAGAAATGCAAAGCCAAATAGGAAAAATGTGAAGGAGGAAATTGAAGAGAGAGAAGGCTAAATTCAGGGAATAAAAGGATGACTGAATAAGAGGTAACAAGGTATTGAATGAAGAGCTGTAGAAAATGATTGAAAGAAGAAATAATGAAGGAAAAGCTGAAACGAGTATGGAATTAGAGAAAGCCTAGAGAGCCATAGACTTAGTCAATGAAAACTCCATTAAACCTCTAATAGCTTCTTGTAAAAATGCATCGCACACAAAAGGCAAAAAAGAGTATTACCAAAAGAAATGTATGAGGCAATCAAAATGAACTTGCTAATGATCAAACTAAAATTGCCATCCTATAGAACAACTGAATGGAAAAGTCATGAGTATCTTTGTGAGTAGGATGTATTTCCAGACGTGTATGAATATGAGGGAAAGCATGCAACATTGATGAGATTTAAGTTAACACAAGAACCAATGCTCACTTAGCTATTGTTTGCTAAATAAATAAATTTAATGGGTTGAATAAAGATTTAATGTGGATGGAAACCAGGTGTGCATTCTGCTGAGGTTTCATGCAGTTTTAAAGTGTACAGAATATTATGCTGAATATATAAAATACTCAGCATGAAGTGTTTTATGGACAATGCGTTTAAAGGTTTGGTTTAAGAAATGCTGTTAAACATTAGATGCATATGAAGCAATAAGTACATTTTCTTCTGAATATTTCTTTTGTTATCTCTATTTAAGCTACCTGATGTCAGTTTTGGTCATGTGATGGTAAGTAAACTATTTTATTCAGTGAGAGCAATGGAGGCATGAATGTATCATTGACATTTACTTGCAATAATTCCTGAGAAAGCTGTAACACTATGTTATGCTCTACCCTGACTTCACTATAAATATTGTTTTGCTTTTTTGTTAAAAGGTCAGTTTGTTTTTGGCTGTGGCAGGGGAACATAGCTGCCTTTTTCTATAAGGACTTATCAAATTATTTGGGAGGGAGAAGGGTCATGTGTAGAATATTGTGTGTCATTTTTACCTCAGAAATTTTGCGTGTCTGCTTTATATAATACTGCAGTTTCTCATTACATTGTATAAAAAAGTAATAAGCACAAATTATGTCATAAACTTATATTGAGTTTTAACTGAGTTTCATAGAAAATAATTCATTTATGCATATCTGTAAAATCTTTAGCAAGCTTTCAGTTGGATTTTCAAATAATTTAGGCACACAAGTTTAACACAGTTAGTTGTACTATATCTCCAAATGCAATAAATTACGTTCCCCAAACCTCTAGCTAACTATTTATATACGTACAGTGGAAATAAAGTTGAAACTGAGCACAAAATTGTATCTCTAAGTTCTATGAAATCTGAAACCGGAATACATACTATAATATATATAAATATAAAGCATGCAGAGGGCCAGTTAATCAGCTGGTTGGATGGCCTGCTTCCCAGCTATCAGATCCAAGTAAGAACAGGGACAGAACTAAACCATTGCTTTTGCATTTCTTGGTTTGGATATTCTGAAGCAGTTATAATTTACAACTGCTAGCTCCATGTTACTAGCTTACCTTTTACAAATAATGTTACACACTTTTTTTTTTAATGAGTTTTCTGACTTATTTAAAGAGCTCATATAGCATTGAAAGTCTGCTCGTTGACAATGAATGGTCTACAGCAAGCATTGCATTTATACACTTGCTACTGCTGTCACTGCTTGGACAGACTTTTCTGAAAGATGAAGCTGATAAGGAACATTGAATGGGTAACAGCACTTTCCTTTTCCCAATTTAAAAAAAAAAAAAAAGAAAAGGAAAAAGATACACAATTAAAATGACAATAGGGTTTTACACTCTTAGTCTTTGTCTAGATCTAGTCAGTCTGATCTGCTTGGAAAGTATCTGCAGCCTTTTCAATTTTTTTAGTCCTTTTCTCTTTTCTTTTCTTTTCTTTTTTCCTTTCCTTTCCTTTCCTTTCATTTCCTTTCCTTTCCTTGCCTTTCCTTTCCTTTTCTTTCCCTTCCTTTCCTTTCCTTTCATTTCCTTTCCTTTCCGTTCCTTTCCTTTCCTTGCCTTTCCTTTCCTTTCATTTCCTTTCCTTTCCTTTCATTTCCTTTCCTTTCCTTCCCTTTCCTTTCCTTTCCTTCCCTTCCCTTCCCTTCCCTTTCCTTTCCTTTCATTTCCTTTCCTTTCCTTCCCTTCCCTTCCCTTCCCTTTCCTTTCCTTTCCGTTCCTTTCCTTTCCTTCCCTTTCCTTTCCTTTCATTTCCTTTCCTTTCCGTTCCTTTCCTTTCCTTTTCTTTCCCTTCCTTTCCTTTCCTTGCCTTTCCTTTCCTTTTCTTTCCCTTCCTTTCCTTTCCTTTTCTTTCCCTTCCTTTCCTTTCCTTCCCTTCCCTTCCCTTCCCTTCCCTTCCCTTTCCTTTCCTTTTCTTTCCCTTCCTTTCCTTTCCTTTTCTTTCCCTTCCTTTCCTTTCCTCTCCTCTTCCTTTCCTCTCCTCTCCCCCCCTCCCCTCTCCTCTCCTCTCCTCTTCCTTTCCTCTCCTCTTCCTCTCCTCTTCTCTTATCTTCTCTTATCTTCTGTTTTTTCACTATAAGACAGATATTGAGCAGGGCCTTGTTCTATACATAAACAAATTCCGTGTTCAAATTGTAGCATAAACTGAATAAAATAAGCAGTGTCTCTGACTCTCAAGGTATCATTTTGTCTCTTCCAGCCTTGTAGTGATGCCACCTAAAAGGTGAAATTTATTAATCTTAGTAAATCCATGTTCAGGTAATCCCACCTCTTGTTTTTTCTCCTAGAGAACACACTTATAACTTGTCTGAAATAATTCTATTAAGCATGTTTAACACTGCATCTGAACTGCCTTGTCCAAGGCACCCGAGAAGTGCCTTGCCTTGCCAGAGCTCTCAGGTGGTACTGGGCTGGTGCCCATGGTGCATGCACCCCTCTCCTCCCAACTCAGCAGGACACACAGGACACAGTGGGTACCATCCACCTTCACCTGGTATCTAGTCACTTCAGGACCCCTCCTAGATGACAGAGATTAAAGCAATCAGATTAATCTCTCTGTGTTATCAGGGCATTTATTTTATCTTCTGTCCTGAGCAAATAGTTGGTACAACAAAACAACAACAAAAAAAACCCCCAGGCTATCGATACATGAGAAAGTTTCCTTTGCAAAACCAGAGTACTTGTTTCTTTTCACTTACCAAAATCATCTGGAGAGATCTAAATTAGCCTTTGTATTGTGTTTGCCTGGCAAGGTTTTGGTAGCAGGGGGGCTACAGGGGTGGCTTCTGTGAGAAGCTGCTAGAAGCTTCCCCTATGTCCGACAGAGCCAATGCCGAAACAACTCTGCAGACACCAAGGTCAGTGAAGAAGGAGGGGGAGGAGGTACTCCAGGTGCTGGAGCGGAGGTTCCCCTGCAGCCTGTGGTGAAGCAGGCTGTATCCCTGCAGCCCATGGAGGTTAACGGTGGAGCAGACATCCACCTGCAGCCCACGGAGGACCTCACACCGGAGCAAGGGGATGCCTGAAGGAGGCTGTGACCCCATGGGAAGCCTGCGCTGGAGCAGGCTCCTGGCAGGACCTGTGAACCCATGGAGAGAGGAGCCCATGCTGAAGCAGGTTTTCTGGCAGACTTGTGACCCCGTGGGGGACCCACGCTGGAGCAGTCTGTTCCTGAAGGACTGCACCCCATGGAAAGGACCCACGCTGGAGCAGTTTGTGAAGAACTGCAGCTCATGGGAAGGACTCACGTTGGAGAAATCTATGGAGAACTGCCTCCTGTGGGAGGGACCCCACACTGGAGCAGGGGAAGAGTGTGAGGAGTCCTCTCCCTGAGGAGGAAGGAGCGGCAGAGACAATATGTGAAGAAATGACCACAACCCCCATTCCTCATTCCCCTGTGCCCCTGTGGGGGAGGACGTAGAGAAAATCGGGACTGAAGTTAAGCCCGGAAAGAAGGGAGGGGTGGTGGGAAGGTGTTTTTAAGATTTGGGTTTATTTCTCATTATCATACTCTGATTTGATTGGTAATAAATTAAACTAATTTCCCCAAGTCGAGCCTGTTTTGCCCGTGACAGTAATTGGTAAGTGATCTCTCCCTGTCCTTATCTCGATCCACAAGCTTTCTGTTATATTTTCTCTCCCCTGTCCAGCTGAGGAAGGGGAGTGATAGAGCAGCTTTGGTGGGCACCTGGCATCCAGCCAGGGTCAACCCACCACATTTTCTTTTTAACATAAATATTGTAGCCAGGCATAGAAAATTTCAGTCCCTGAGTAGGAATTTTTCATAAAGGACTGCAAGAAATGAATATGTGACACGGTGGTATAGCAGAATTCCATGTATACTTTAGTCATAGCTTTTTTTCTCTCCAAAGTACTTCAGTCAAAAAATGACTGCTTGTGCAATAATCTTAGACTTTTTCCATGTGGCAGCACATTGTAAAGCTCTGATGCCAGCCACCTGAAACTTTACAAATGAGAGAGAAGACCATGCAGGCGTTATTTGTGTCATCTAATCTCAGAGATAAAGTCATTCACAACAAATAGATTTGTAATAATCTGCTTCTAAACTGCAATCTGTTTACAGTCCACAGCACAATGCACCTGAGAGATTTTAGCCATCTACTTATGATGAGATGAATTGTGTCCTAGAAGTAATTGGCTGGATACCATAGGGCAGTTGTTCAGATGTAGTTATCTATGTTGGAAATGCCAACATCTAAGCAGAGGGCTGCCACATCAAGATCTTAGCTCAGGGACCAGCAATTTAATGAGATGGGTAATATTATCGTGTGCCAAATCAAAGGATTTGTAGAAAGAAAACAAAGTCAACAGAAAAAGGAAAATTTCTCCTAAGGCACATCAATCATATCACTGTTCTGTTTCACATACAGAGTGAAAGTTTTCAGATACGCCCCAAGATCTTTAACAGGAAACGTTGCATATTTTGTATAACAAGTGTGGAAGCAGGGGCCCAGAGCACCCTCCAGAACGCATGCAGGCAAGATGCAGAGGCATGGCTAGCTCGGTAGTACATACCCAGCATGCTCCTGCAGGCAAAGGCAATGCTCAGTGCAATCACAGGCAGAGGAAGGGCCCCCGAGGTGGAGAAAACCGTGCTGGCAGGGCTGGAGTCTGCTTTGTCGAGGCAGTGCAGACAGGCAGCGACGATGATGGGACCTTTCCTAGTGATGCCAGTGGAGGAGGTGACACTTGTGAGGATGGAACGGGTGGCTCGATGAGAGAGGAGTCTATCGTGAGAAAGCACCTTTCATGAAAAGGAAATGGTGTGACAGAAAAGCTGACAAAGTGTAAATAGGGAGTACATTGAAGAAGGAGAGGTCTGTAGGCGCAAGTGGTACTGTGCGGATGCGTGATATCAAAGTGCCCTATTTCTGAGCATGGTTAGTGTAATAAGCACTAAGGGGACATGCCTAGCGATGGCATTTTGAAATCCTGTACTGAAATCATCACTATCTGTTGCTGACCATATCTGTTTTTATAAATCATGGTAAAGTTAAGAGGCAGTGAATGCAGCTATACTATTGTTCTGTAATTAAACGGGGGGGGAGGACACATCTTCCTTATTTTTCAGAGTCCATTCCTAAATGTAGTAGCTGCAAGTATTTAAAGCAATTTGCAAATAATAATAATATTCTGACAGGCAAGTGAACTCCTATGTGTGAAAAAATTATTACTAGGCAATATATGCTTGAGTTGCCCAAGTAGAAAATACACCTAGAATTATTTAACTTGCCACTCCACAATCTCTCCATGGAAATTCATCTGAAAAGACATCTTTTGAGGGACAGAGAGATGATGCCCCAAATCTAGAACTCCTATAGTATCGATGTCTTATTCCCAGCTCCTGTGATTTTTTCCCATGATTATTAATCGTGATCTGCATCATCCATGGAAGTTTATCAAATTGTTCGTTTCTTTTTCTCTCCTCAGAATTATTCTGTACTTGATATGAGACCACCAACTACAGTCATCACATTGAACAATGCCATGTATTGGCAAGAATTTGAAGATGCGTGCGTCTATGAATGTCTGGATGGGAAAGACTGCCAGAGCTTTTTCTGTTGTTACGAAGAGTGTAAATCAGGCTCATGGAGGAGAGGACGGATTCACATAGACATCTTAGAACTGGACTCTTACTCCAGGGTCTTTTTTCCTACATCCTTCCTGCTGTTCAACCTGGTCTACTGGGTTGGATACCTCTATCTTTAAATGTTGCCTGTAGTGGTGAAGACTGCTGTGTTTTCACAGCGCGGAGGGATGGTGAAAGTGCAGAAAAAGTGAAGGACGCGGTCAGTTTCATCTCAAATTATAAAGGCCACATTAACCTTCACCATCACAGAGCCTGATGAAGAATTTTAATATGTAATTGCCTGAAAAAGAAAAACATGGAAGAATTCTCTCCTTACTGCTATTCATTTTAAGGAAAAGATTCCTACAAAATTCAGCTGAATTTGTAGTGTAAGCGATGTTTATGAATAATTATTGTATATTAGAATCTTTACTATTCTCCCTTGGCATAGAAGCTATATACAATTCAGGCAAAAGTTAAATATGTCATTTTTGTTCTTCATTCCCATACTTTCTTCAAAATGCTGCCATATCCCTGAGGCTCAGAGCAACATACACTGGCACTGGCAAACAAGCCAAAGCCAACGAAACCACTCACTTGTATTTAAACTTGCTTGAGCTATGTCCCATAGGTTTTGGGAAATATTTCATTGGTTATCTGCCTGCTATAGAGAAACCACCAAAAGACAGTAAGAAATGTCTCTGGTGGGATCAAAACATAGACGTTACTTTCCGCAAAGGTCTGGGATTCATGGAGTTAGCCACTTACCTACACATATTGGTTTTAACTTAAGGTGAAAAGGCAGAGTTATAAGAAAGCTATTGTTTTGATATAAATAAAAGACTTGCCTATCTCTGAGGCAGCTGTAGGCATAACTTCTACAGTTTTTCAAGCTTTTAACTGTCTTTTTTATGACTGGTTAAACACAGGATGGTCATTGATTTCTAAAGTACTCTACTTGAAGCAGGACAAGATTCCTGCTTGTTTGTGTCATTGTAGCAGATCATAGTTGATAGGCCATGAGTAAAAATCACTATATAATAGCACTAGGAATATGTGACTTTCTTCAGATTGCAATTTACTAAAAAGTGCTCTCATGCATTCTTGTTTTTTCTCTCAAAGTTATTTTACAAAATTGAAAAACTTGTGTGCCAAAGGACATTTTTTGTTCCTTCCATAGAGTTAAATATTGCAGTCCTTACTCACGGCAGTTGTTCCCTGGGTCTGAGCTGAAGACTGAACACTTTTTACTTGAATAGTGCGTTACGGGAACTCAATTGTCACACTTGGATTAAACATGGGATAGTTGCCACAGGTAGAAAAAGGTTGTTTTCATTTTTTTCCTAAACTATCAACTATTTTTTACCCTAAAAAGCTATTTTGTACTTTTCAAGCTTTTCACCATTAAATTCTTAAACTACCCATGTTTTCAAAAGCTAGTTTTGCAGTGTTAAACTAGATTACGCCTTTTACAGACTGTCTCAGTAATTGTTATTAAGCAAACAAAACAGATTCAAAACTAAATAGCAGTGGCTTTTCACTACCCTTTGGATGACAAATGGTTACAAATGATTAAAGTTAAAACATACCTACAAAAAATTTCTATTTTTTTTCTCTTCTGGAGGACCTGATCATTTTTTTATCACCTCAAAAAATGTGTGTCTTTTCCACACGGTATTTCATAAAAAACGAGTAGTAGATGTGACTGAAGAGCAGTTCCTTTTATCCTCAGAAGGAAAATCTTGCAAACAAGCAAAAACTAATGCAATGGTAATTCTAAAGAAAAAGAAATGCTGTCATGTTCTTTGAAACATCACTGTCTGTCATTGCTGTTTCTCTGTGCTTCCACTGAGTTTTTAATTGAAAAAAATTACTAACACAAAAGGTAACTGTAGTTATTCAAAATACTTCCTTCTGTTTTTCACTTGTCTAAAATATCAGAGACAGAGCTGGGTCTAGGTGAGGGAGGGGAATCACTTCTCTAAGGACTGACAAAATTCAAATTAGTAGCACAGAGAAGAAATATTTTGGGGCAGGATCAAAACCTTATTTTTAACAAAATCTGCCCAATATGATGTCCTTTAAACCAATTATAACCTTCTGATTTCAAAATACATGTGGAAGTTTTTGCTAACTCTCAGTAGCAAATTACTCTGTAAAATCTATTACTCTGTAAACCTCTGTGTCCTGCACTTGGAAGTATGGATTTTATTTAAGGATGAGAGTTATATTTTCAGCAGTGCAAGAAGGTCATTGAATTGAAGTTGAATATCCTGGTCTCTAATTTTGAATTAGTCTAGTCTAACAGCCACCTTCAGCCATATTTTGCAAGAATACTAGAAATATCTCAAGCCTAAATAAAAGAATGGAAACAGTTATCCTTTAGGGGCCTGATCCTGCAAACCCTCTGCACAATCAATTGATTTTGGTGGGAGTATTGAGCCAGATGAGGCACAAGAAGGTGCCTTCCACCATTAGACTTGAACAGGTAAAGTGAGGTTTATTTAGCAATTGCATACTTGAATGAATGTCCTGGGAGTAAGTGTGGAAGTGGAACATTCCCATTTTAGATGATGAGCATATACTTTTCTTACACTTCTGCTCATGGCTACCCATTCCTTCTACAACAAGAATACAATCCTATTATAGCCTTCTTTGGCAGACTGATTCTGCTGAGTCCATTCATATTGCCTCTGTTTTCTGAGTGCTTTCATAAACAGAAGTTGGAAGCATATAATTCCACTTTTTTCCACCGTCCTAACCAAGAAAGAATCTCCAGACACTACTGGTTTCTGCTCTTATACTGACAGCAGAGGACATATTCTACTGTGTAATATATTCTACTCTGGGGTTATCTGCAAAAAATTGATTTGTTTGCAAGGTGAGTGGCCGCGGGCTGGCAGGTTCCAGAATGCATTCCTCTGCTTATTCCTAGTTGCTTGGTTTACTCTCTCTGCTTCACTGCTCTGTGCTTTGGCAGCCACTGAAAAACTGTAGAGATGAGGGAAGATAAGCTTTCTAGGCTCTGCATCATTCAAAATGCAATTATTCTAGACACCTAGCTAATGTGATCTGCATACACCTATGTGCCATATCTTTCTGTAGTAGTAAGAATATCCTCATTAACCTCCAGATATTCTTTTGCTTCTCTGGCAAATTGAAAAAAATGAACACTTGTGTGCACTGTCCCATGAGAAATGTAAGAACCACCTTTCACCATTTTGGAACATTTTCTTATCAGATAATTTCATATTCAAGACTTGCATTTATTCAACTACTTCATTATTTAGTACTTCTTTTTACCCTTCCAAGGAAGGGAAGGGAACAGAGGAAGTCAAAACCAAATGACTAGTAAAATGAACATATTTGGATATGTATGTAAAACCACAAAACTGAGTATCTTCACATTACATTCCTTCCTTTCTGAAGTTACATAAAAGATCGTGAGGGTTTGTTTAGATAACCAACTTTTCCCAGGAGGATCTGAAGTCAAACCTCTTATTCTCCTCCTTCAATTAAAAGTTGATGGACAGTGTTTTCCTGCATTGAGGGCAGCATTTTCAAGACAATTAAGAATGTATAAGAATACTGTTCTGCTTATTTCACTCTTCTCAGTTCTTCTGGCCCTGATGCCTAACACACTGACAGCTCCTTCTTTTACAGCCATTCTTCCAAGAATAAGTGTATAAAAACTTGCAGCCGGTTTATGCTGTCTCCATGTCCAGCATTAATGTGGAACTGAAGTACACCACATGCCATGCAATTTTAATGTAACTTCCTAATCAAGAAGTATGGCTGTAGATTAAAACACCTCAGGCACTTTGATAACCTTTCTTCTCTTTCAGATGCTCATTTTCTCCTTCATCAACTCGCAACTGTATATTGGTATATTGTACATACCAGAAAAAATGATAAAAATTACAGCAGGAAGAATAAAAAAAGCCAGAACTGTCTTCACAGAGACAGCGATGAGTAGTGAAGCTAAAAGAGGAGGAAGAAATTATTTTTTATTGCTGTGCAGTTCTTATGTGTCCCACTCCTCTTATTCAATTCTTCCCACCAACTACCCACAGCTAATTCCAAATCATCCACCTCGCAGTTTGCACATTCATCAGCTGGAACAGCAGTGACACATGAGCCTTTAGCTGATAGGAAATGATATTTCTGGAACTGGAGGCATCCTGCCAAATAACTCAGATAGATAGCTATCATCTCAAACACTTTTGCAGCCCTAATGTGTCTCAGAGTCTAGCACCTCATGTTGCTGCATGAATTTATCACGTCACCTTACTCGGACATTTCATGAAAGGGAGGATGCTTACCTCCTTTTTACAACAAATTTCACCATACATCTAGACAAATTACTCTGCCCTGCCCATGCTCCAAGTGACCAGGTGCAAGACAGCTCTGGAAAAACCATAGTTGCTGTACTGCTCGCTGACTTTGCGGGAAGGGAGACTCAATATTTTAAGACAGATTTCATTAGCCTCACAATCTGGAGGGTTAGTGTTACCTTTTAAGCTGTAAAACAAAGCGCCCACTGCAACTTGTAAAGGCTGTCCATAACAGACTGTACTTTTCCCATTGGCTGCTCTTTCTGGGTTTCCATAAAGCACTAAGAGAAGGCAAGCCATAATCTTAGCTGCCTACAAAATTAGATGATTTTTTTCAAGGTATATTCTTCTTGCTTACAGTGAAATCTTTGTGCCTCTTGCATTAGTGCCTTTAGCATTTCTTGATATTGAAGGATATACTATTCCAGGCCTGAGAGTTAGAAAGAGGGACCTTGCTGGAGTTCTTCCTGAGCACCACAGCGTGTGACCAATATTCTAGATGTCTTCAACATACACATTGAGCATTTGTCTGATTTTTCTTTATTTTTTAAGCAGTCTGTAGGTTTCTTAATTCCTAAGTAGCAAGAAAACTGCAGTGGGATTTCAGCAGTTCAGCAGAATCCTTCCTGTTTCAGTCAGCAACTTCATTCCACCAAAAGATGCAGAGCATAAACTCAAGGCTGGTGTTTACCTCATTCAGGTCACTTCCCAGAAGACTGTTTAAAATAGGCAAAAAACAAACTATGCATTGGGAATATGTTTCCACAGCTGAAAGGTGAGGTTCTTTTTCCTTTAGAGCTTTTTTT